AAAAGCGGCCGTAATGGGTGGTGGTAACCGCCAAAACTGTTAAGTAACGGCGTTACGTAACGGTTGCGGCCGCTTTTTAAAACCTTGCATATAGCTGTCCTCATAGTTGTCTATCTTATTAATAGGACACCTAGTTGTGTGTTGCATGGTCTTACTCCGTTCCATGTCCTTTTGCCCAACACTACTTTGTTTCCTCTCCTACCACTTGTCTTTGGGCGTACTTGTTTGTTCAAGATCGGAGTCCCACTCGTACTAAGTTAGATGACAAGTCTATTTGTTGTGTCTTCTTAGGGTATTCTTCCATGTTCAAAGGGTATAGGTGTTTTGATCCCGTGTCTTGTCACGTTCACTACACTTTAGATGTTATTTTCTGTGAGGATCTCCCTTTTTTTGGTACTAACCATGCTTTGCAGGCTTCCACTACCGTTACTTCCAGTGTCTGCCCGGTTTCTATTTTGGACGAGGCTGCGAATGAGGTTGTACCCCTTCCTTATTCTCCACCTTCGCTTCCTTCCCTCCTCCCCCCAATTACAGGTATACTCTCTTTGCCCACGCTCTCAACTGCCCTCTGCTGCCTCTTCGATCTTTGGGTCAAGACACCTCTTCTCCTTTAGCTACGTCTCCACCTCCTCGTGGTAACCCACCTTGGGATCAGCATCCTCCAGACTGTTGGGGTTATTTAAGTAGTACTAATCATCTTATTTCCCAATATCTTTCCTATGACAAGGTTTTTTATTCCTATTGCTCTTTCATTGGCAAGCTTAAGTCAGAGTCAATTCCTTGTTCTGTGTCAGAGGCTCTTTAGAATCCGAAATGGGTAAAGGCTATGCCGGCTGAGATGGCAGTCTCAGAACATAATCACACTTGGAATCTTGTACCTTTACTTTCTGGGGAAAGCACTATTAGATGCAAATGGGTGTTTACTATCAAATACCTAGCTGATAGCTCTGTTGACCCTTACAAAGCACGCCAGGCGGCCAAGGGTTTAACACAAGTTCCTGATAAGGATTTTGGGGCCACTTTTTGCGCCTGTCTCTAAGCTTACTTTGGCGCGTCTCCTTATCTCCCTTGCAACATCACGTTCTTGGCCTCTGACATCAACTTGATGTCAAAAATGTGTGTTTCTTCATGTGGATCTTCTTGAGACGATATACATGGCTTCTCCACCTAGTTTTTTGGCTGAGGAGTATTCGGAGAAAGTTTGTTGGTTACGCAAATCTTTGTATGGTTTAAAACAGTCTCCACACACATGATTTGGTCGCTTTAGTTCTGTCATTCTTGCCATAGGATTTGTTCAGTGGCACTTTGATCATACTTGTTTCATTATTGTATAATTTTGTTGGTTTGTGTGGATGATATTATTCTCACATACAATGATTCTATCAGTAGTGGTCAAGTAAAGGACTTGGGCCAAACTTTTGATATCAAGAATCCGGAATGTCTAAAGTATTTTCTAGGGATTGAGGTGGGTCGTTCACAGCAGAGAATTTCCTTGTCTCAGAAGAAGTACACTCTTGATCTATTTCGGGATACTTGTATGTTAGGGTGTAAACCTGCCTCAACTCCTATGGACCCAAACATTAAACTCAAATCAGTTTGGCAAGTTATTGGAGGATTTGGGCATGTATCGGCGGCTTGTTGGTCATCTCATTTATTTGACTAACACTAGACTTAACATTTGCGGTTAGTGTTGTGAGTCAATTTATGCATGCACCTCGTACAGAACATCTTGATGTTGGTCACCATATTTTGAGGTATTTGAAGACTTCTCCTAGTTTGAGATTATTCTTCACAGCTAGTCCTCAGTCTAGACTCTTGTTTCACGGATGTTGATTATGCAAGATCTAGAACTAATCGGCATTCCACCTATGGCTTATGTATTTTCTATATTGATCACCTTATATCATGGAAAAGTAAGAAGCAAGCAATTGTTTCTAGATCCTCTGCAGAAGCTAAGTATCGGGCTATAGCACAGGGAATATGTGAGATTTTATGGTTTCGCTCTATTCTAACAAAGTTGGGATTTGAAGAGACTGCTCCTTCCTCCTTATTTTTTGACAACAAATCCACAATTATGTTATCTTCCAATTCAGTACTCTATGAGTCTACCAAGCACATCGAGGTTAATATACATTTTATTAGAGAAAAGATTCGGATTGGTATCGTGAGTCCATCATTTGTCTCTTCTTTTGAGCAGTTAGCAGATATATTCACAAAATCTGTAGGTCCGACATTGCTCCAGTCATTTATTGCCAAGTTGTGTTTGTTGAATGTCTTCACGGTAGCTTGAGAGGGAGTGTTGAATATAGAAATTAGAATATTTTATTTATACTAATTTGTTTAAAATCCGTGATTGTATGAATCACGGATTTAGTGCCTTGATAAGTTTGTTTCCTAATTTGTAATATGAATTTATTATATATATACATGGCTCTACCTCGTACAAAGGTAAGCTAGTACTATTCTTTTCATCCTTTTGTAACGTCTCCACCATGGTCTTCATCATCTCCACCGTTGTCATCACCAAGATCTACCTTACCTGAACAATGACCATGAGTCCTTTCTTGATCGCAACGATAGGCTCCAAGTTCACCATTGATATGGAGATCATGGATTTTGAGAAAATAGTAAAAAGATGAAAATTAGGATTTGAAATTATGTTTTATGAGTCTTCTTTGAGCTTGGAAATTTTTACACCGACCGAAATCTAACCGCCTAACTGAAGGCATGATTTGGTCGTTTTCAAAACTTATTTCGGTCGAATGCGGGTAACCAAATCTCTCACCTGAAGTAGTCGGTTTGGGCGACGGGTTAACTATGAACCCAAACCGACTCAACCCGTGAACAACCCTACCATACGCTTGTGGGTTCAACTGCACTAATTTTGTTATCCAATAACACATGGAAGGAGTTGGTTGGTGTTCTCCTGCCTGGTTTATGAACCAGTTTGAGGTAAAATGTTGATTGAGGTGTAGACATGCTTTGGTGTGATTATTTATGTTAATAATGGTGCAATTATCATGGCCATGTTTGGTTTGTATTTGTGGAACAATTTTGAAAAATAATTTTCTAGAAAGAGTTTGAAATTTTGTTTGATTGTATGTTTTGAAAATAGTTTTGGATGATGCTATTTTTTAATAGTGGAATAGATGAGTGTGTGAGAAAAAGTAATTGATTTGTGTAGGATGTGAGGAGAGAGGAGAGAGAAAAAGTGATTGATTGATATGTAGTAGAGAGAAAAGTGATCTTGGATATATTTTTCAAAAAATTTCAACCAAACAAATTTTTTAAAAAATTGTCTCTTCAGAGACAAACCAAACAATGCCCATAAATTTTATATTATATTTTACTAGTCAACGCAACATAGGTGTCAAAAAAATAAAAGTAATAAGTCCCGCCACTTGTGTGCATCTCTAATGCAGTGCTAATAATTAGATTGACACATCACATAGTAAGACAAGATGGTACAAATAGATGGTCATGGGCCCGTGGATTTGTTGTCATGGTAATCATATTTATATTTTAAAAATTGTTTAGCACCTCATGTGTCATCTTTGTGTTAGTTTAATAGATCTCATTACTCATGTCTAATGTGTAATGCAGTGGTAACACATCACATTGTTAAGCAAAATTTTGTAATAAAATAGGGGAATTATAGCATTATTAAGAAAATAATAATAATAGGATGACCACATTTGTGTATCATCATCTCACATTATGTTGATTTAATGAATCACATTACTTATGTCTGTTACCAATGCAACAGTTATATATCAAGTGATAAAAAAATTGTAAATAAATATGATCATGATTGTGTTATTGAAGAACAAAACATTAATGTGTTGTTGATTTTACATATACAACAAATGAACAGTGCTGTTGAAAGCTTGTGACCTTTCAAGAAAAAGCTTGAGCCCACTGAACTTTTCTCCTAGAGTCGCCCCTGGTGGTGTTTTCAAATAAATAAGGAGCACATTTTAGTTAATGGGTCTGGAGGAAGGCTGAATGATTAAGTTAGATACTTTCCAGAATAGAAAGATTTGGGATTTGCAAAACTAAGACTATTTGCGGAGTTTAATTTTGTTAATAGTAATTGTATGCAAAAGGAACTATTTTGCATTATTTTGTACTGGGGGAGATTGAAGAGAATTGCTGTCCTAGAATTACAAGTGTATGGTTGGAGAAGAGTAATATTTCTAGTGTGTTGTGTGATTATTGACTACCTGCCATACAAGATGGAAGAATCATTTAGATGACCAAAGGCTAGCCTAAGTAGCACAAACACTTCTATTGAGTATAGCATGTTCAGGTCAGACATTGACATTTCTAGGACATGCATATGTCCAACAATTCTTGGTCATGTCCATATCCAAAAAGTAAATTTCAAAATTCAGACATTTCATTGACTATGTAGCCTGAAAGCTTCATAACAGGAGCCCATTTCGACCCATGGTAATAACTAGTGGTTGTGTCCTACTCCTGGAAATAGGATGGAAGCACCCCAAAAATGTCCAACCAGAGAATACAAAAATTTCATATAGAAAATGGCTGCAACAAGTGAAGGATGCGGCAGCAACTTGAGATAGGAAAAGAATATTAGTGCTGAGGAAGAAGAGAAGAAAGAAACAGAGTATCATAACAGGTGTACATAATATAATTATTGTAATTGATATTAGGTATGCATCTTCCATATTATGCAATTTATTGAAAGTTACTCCAACCTCCATTGAGATTTGAAGAAAATCACGGCAAGCCCCACAAGTTTGGCTTAATTACATTGGGCTCGTTTAAAGTTTTAATTCATATAATACTCATTCCCCTTTTTATTAGTAGTTCATTAGTCATGTGGATGAAAAAAATTAGTTATCATTTTTTGTACACTGTAATGTATATCTTACCTTGTTTATCATTGTGTTTTCACATCGTGACTTGGCCCTATTTTCATATATCATTGTTTATCATGTTTGTGATAATTGCAATTTGCAACTTGTGTGTATCAGGACTGCCAGCAGAGACATTGATTGAAAGGTTTGTGACAATTGGTGCTTATAGTCTTTTGCGGTCTTGCACAATTGAGCCAGAGTGCATCATTGGGCAGCATTCAATCCTCATGGAAGGTTCTTTGGTGGAGACCCATTCTATCCTTGAAGCTGGGTCAGTGCTTCCCCCAGGTCGGAGAATCCCAACCGGTGAACTTTGGGCTGGCAATCCAGCTAGGTTTATTAGGACCCTGACCCACGAAGAGACCTTGGAGATTCCTAAACTTGCTGTTGCAATCAATGACCTGAGCAAAAGTTATTTCTCAGAGTTCCTCCCATACTCGACGGTGTATTTGGAGGTTGAGAAAATGAAGAAGTCCTTGGGGATTTCCATTTGAAGATTTTTCTTTTTTTCGTATTTGTGTATTCAGTTACTTGGAGATCTTCTCGATAGAAAATAAGCAAATCTGAGACTCGGAAGCAAGACTTTCATTTCTTTGTTTTGTTTGTGATTTTTGATTGCAAGCGGATGAACTGATTGCAAGTTCAAATTAAATGGGACTAGTGTTGATTAAAGCAACTGCTTAGTAATTTTTATCTATGCTTTCAATTTTTCTTTTTCTTTTTCGTTTATAGGATTATTGTTTGTCAGGTGTTTTTTCCCCACCTTCCTCTCATTATGTGACTCAGAATAATGTCTATAAAGTAATCAGCTATGCTTCTATGTGGTGGTTGTGTAGTGATGTTCTTGGATTTGTTTTCTTTTAGTGCTGGCCTATTGGTTTATGAGAGTTTAATCTCCATTTGGATAATGGATTGGGATAAAGATTTGGTACCAGGGAAGGGGGAAATGGAGAAAAAAATGAATTTATTTTTCATCTACAGTTCTTTAATCTTTTTAAATCTCTACTCAAATTTATAATCTAAACACAATCTAAGGCCAGTTTTGTAGTCATTTGTAGACGTATTTGGTGGCCTATTTTTCTTGTTTTTTTGTCAGCCTTGTTACTTTGGGAGAGGTTCCCGCTGTGTTTTTCGGTGGGGTTCACCTCAAACTTATTTTCACGATTTGAACTGTTTATGTTATAAAATCTGTCAAACAAATCATTTATACAAAAAAACAAAAACAAAAAAAGAAGCTTTTTTGATAAATTTTCTTTTCAAGAGTTTTATTCTATCCAATCTATGTTTTTTTGACTATTCTACTAGATCTTATTTGAGGTAAGAGGGTCAAAACACTCTCAATCTCTCTTGTCCCCTATTAATGTTAATATTTAATGTTGATTGTCATTATGCTTTGGTAGTTTTCATGTATCAGGATATTGACTGTCATTATATTCATATTAATTTAAAATGAATTTTTGTCATTGTGTTGTTCAATTACACAATGTGAATATTCATATCATGTAATTGAAATGAATATTCACATCATTATATTCACATTAATTTGAAATGAATTTTTGTCGTTGTGTTGTCAATTACATGATGTGAATATTCATACTAAAACATACGAATGTAAACGTTCACATCACTACATTAGAAGAGAGTGAATGTTCACATCACTACATTAGAAGAGAGTGAATGTTCACATGTTGTAAACGCTCACATCACTACATGTTGTGAATAAGAATGTATTGTCAATTAAAAATATAAGGAACGTTATTTTTAATGTGTTGTCAATTAAAAATAAGAAGGTTCATATGTTGTGAACGTTCACATCAGATGAGAGAGAATGTTCACATTATTTTTAATGTGTTGTCAATTAAAAATATATTCACATTTTATAATAATATAAAATAATAATATCAATGTTATTTAATTTGTGTATGAAATTTCTTATACCTTGGTCCTTTTCCTTCTCTCTCCTCTCCCAACATTAAATGTCAATATTAAATATAAGAGTATAAGAGTCTAAGAAAATAGTGTAAATCAAGAAAGAAAAAAAATATAAAATAAAAGTATAAATACATGGGACTAAGTTGGTTAAAAAATTCCTTCATAGACTTATTGGGTTAGAACACTTCTAAATGGGATTTATCAATAACCAAACCAAACCAAGCCTTAAGTCCCATCAAATGGGGTCAGCTACATGAATCCTTCTTCTCCACGCGGCCCTATCAAAGGCCATTTCGTTAGTCAAATTAAGTAAATCTATATCTCTATTTATAACGTTAGCCAACGTTAATCTAGGCCTACCCCGTCCCCTAACACTCCCCTCTACCGTTACAGTATCGCATCTCTTCACTACTGCCTCTGTTGGTCTCTGTTGAATGTGACCAAACCATCTCAATCGATTCTCTCTCAACTTATCTTCTATCGGTGTTACTCCTACCAATTCCCGAATACACTCATTCCTAATTATGTCTTGTCTAGTCTTGCCATACATCCACCTTAGTATCTTTATCTTAGCCACACTTATCTTATCTACATGTTGTTTCTTGGTTGCCCAACACTCCATCATCTTATCTACATGTTGTTTCTTGGTTGCCCAACACTCCGTTCCATACAAAATCGCTGGTCTAATAGCCATTCTATGGAACTTACCTTTTAGTCTAGTGGGTATTCGTTTATCGCACAGTACCCCAAACACACTTCTCCACTTACACCATCCCGCATTAATCCTATGGGTCACATCCGCCTCAATCTCCTCCGCTGTTGTGATAATCGACCCTAAATAACGAAACTGTTCACACTTAGACAATTCTTGGTTCTCAATCTTCATTTCTCCTCTCATTTCATTGTTACTGTTACTAAATTTACACTCCATGTACTATGTCTTATTTCTGCTTATCCGGAAACCTTTAGATTCAAGAGTTTCTCCAAATCTCCATCTTTATATTAACTCATTCTTTAGTCTCATCCACTAGCACAATATCGTCCGCAAAAAGCATACACCATGGCACGTCATCCTAAATATTACTCGTCAACTCATGCATAACTAAAGCAAAAAGATAAGGGCTTAAGGTAGATCCTTGGTGTAACCAAACAGTGATAGGAAATTCATTTGTCTCTCCAGCCGGCGATCTAATAGTGGTCACCACCCCTTCATACATGTCCCTAATCACATCAATGTAACCTTTTGTCACCCCTTTCTTCTCTAACACCCACCATATGATATCTCGACGCACTCTATCATATGCTTTCTCAAGGTCGATAAACACCATATGAATGTCTCTTTTCTTTTCTCTATACTTTTCTATTACTCTCCTCAAAAGATAAATCGCTTTCATTGTTAACTTGCCGAGCATAAACTCAAATTGATTCTTTGACACCTCTGTTATATCTCGCAATGGGCGTTCTATCACCCTCTCCCACACTTTCATTACATGGCACATTAGTTTGATTCCTCTATAGTTGTTGCAATTCTGGACATCTCCTTTATTCTTATATATTGACACTAAAATACTCTTCCTCTACTCATCTGGCATGTTCCTAGCCAACAAAATTTTGCTAAACAGCCTAATCAACCAAGCAAACCCCCTTTTTACCCAAGCACTTCCAAGCTTCAATAGGGATATCATTCGGTCCTAAAGCCTTATTTGATTTTATCTTCATAAGTGCAATCTCCACTTCAAAGTTCCTAATCCTGCGATAAAACCTATAGTCTTGGTTTATCACATTACTAGCCATTTCTTCCCCTATTGTCATACCTCCATGTTCCTCTTTTAATAGTTTCTCAAAATAGTTCTTCCATCTTTCCTTAATCTCTTCATCCTTCACCAATACCTTAGAATCCTCACTTTTGATGCACTTAACTTGATTAAAATCTCTTATTTTCCTCTCCCATATCTTAGTAAGTTTGTATACCCTCTTCTCTTCTTCTTTACTATCTAGTCTAGTGTATAGGTCATCATAAGCTTTCAACTTAACCTCTCTCACTACTTTTTTGACCTCCTTATTAGCCAATCTATAACTCTTAACGTTTTTCTCAGTTCTATCATTCTGCCGCTTTTTAAACCACTCTTTCTTTGCCTTAATTACCGTCTGAACCTCTTCCCTCCACCACCAAGTTTCCCTAGTGCTAGGTCCCGTCCCTTTCGACTCTCCAAGCACGCACTTCCCTTGAGATTCTCCTCATACAATTGGTCATCGAGTTCCACATAGTGTTAGCATCATCTTCCAAGTCCCGAGTACTGTTACGACCCAAACCCGCCCCTATGGGTTTAGCACCGTAACCGGCCAGTAATCCATAATTACTGAAGGCTTGCTTAACAGTAAAAATAGTAATACAGAGTACAGGGGCTGGCGGAAGCCAAAACAGTAATAAAAGATGTCCAATGAGCTGTGACAGTCTGTATGCAAAAAGACTTTCCATACATATTCACATTCAGAACCAAAACAGTATATACATATATATACAATCATCCAAGACAGGGACCTAATCCCTATTAGAACAGTACAATACAGGTACAGTCAGTCTATACAAAAACAGAGACAGAAATGATGAATCTAAAACACCCCCAAGAAGCCCTAAGTTGAAGGACTTGGAATCTTTCAGTGAGGCATAGTGGTTGGCTTGACAAAAAAGGAGTTTAACCCAACGCTCCGAGCTCCGATCCTGTGCCTGGACACCTACATATATATATAAACAGTGAGCTAAAGCCCAGTGAATAACATATGCATAAAGAGGTTAAGAATGAATGTCCTTTCAGTATTTAAAACAGTCATTTAAACAGTATATCGGTTATTCGATCATAGCAGTCGTAAGTGGTACATCCAATAGCAAACAGTACAGTAGGTCTTAACAGACCGGACAGTCAGTTGATGGCCATCAGATCAATAAACAGTAGTGGTTCCAACATGGGAACCGATAGAGATCTCGGTGACAGTAGCAGTACAGTACAGTAACAGTAAATTGCTATGGACGCCACGAATACAGTTCGCAAATAGGACAAGCATTCATTCAGTAAGAAATATCATTTCGGAAAGCAGTACAGATCATTTAGAAAATATTCATGGTAGAATATATCTTTACAACATTGTTACTCACAGAGTTCTGGGTTACAGATAGGCTAGTGAGCGTCATCGGGTGCCAACCCTACACAGTTACAGAATGAACACACACTAAGTTACACACTTGGGAATCAATGACTTAGTCTCTATCTTGACTCGGTGTGGTTCTACATCAATATCCTTATTAAGATGCCTTAAACATGGCCTAAGAATGCCTAGGATGAAATGAGGATGCAAAGATGCACTTTAAAACACTTTTCAGGATTTTCAGAAAACAGGGGTCTCGCTCGAGCATGGCTTTCTTCGCTCGAGCGAGCTTGTCAAAACAGTGGGGTCGCTCGAGCGTGAACTTCCTCGCTTGAGCGGTCTGTAAAAATGCAAAAAGTGCTGGATGTTGAAAATTTCCACTCGACGCTCGCTCGACCGTGAGACACAATCCTCGCTCGAGCATAGGTTCTCTCGCTCGAGCGTGCTTCTGCGTGCACCAAAAACTTGAGAGCTTGCAATTTACGCTCGAGCTACCATTTCTTCGCTCGAGCGGAGCTCTGAACAAAAGACAGTCGCTCGAGCGTGGAAGCCAAAATCTGAGATTTCCAGATTTGCCTCCCAAGCTCAAACCAAGCATTCAACACATCAAAACTCAACCTCTTGGGCCCATTTTCTGGAAAAACACTTTAAACCCATGATATAACATGTTTTGAAGATCAATTTGTAAAATCAAAACCTAAGGGTGAGTCAATTGAACACAATTTCAAATAAACTTCAAGAACA